AAATTTTAATGTCATTAACAATTAAATGAATGAAAGTTTTTCGATAATAAAACTCAAATTGAAAATTCAAGTATTTTTATACAATTCTATCAACTCATTCTTTCATTGCAAAATATGTCCACGACAAAACTATTTTAAGAGCAAGCAATGTATCGATAAAGCGAATATACAACTTACGAACTGAGGGGCAGTAGCAGAACAGCATGGGCCAAGCGAACAAAAAAGTAGCGCAATAAAAAAAATATTCGCAGCATAAGGAACGAGTAAAAGAGTGATTAAAGGCTTTCAAGTCGCTAATCTCGCGGCTCGATCTTCCCAACGTCGTCGCAGCAGCGGGAGGACGGGCAGCGATCTCCAACTGCTTAGGCAGTCATAGAACTTCATGTCGCGCAGTGTAAGGGGGAGGGGGGCATTATACATATATACGTAGACAGGGGTGTCAAGAGCAAAAGAGAATTATCAACGCATATGCAGCGGCAGATCGAGAGAGAGAGAGAGAGAGAGAGAGAGAGAGATCCGTTATCTCGATGGCACGCGCTCCCACGTGGACACGATATAATGGAGATGTCATCCTGTCTCTGCTTTGACAAGCCCATATAACGCGCGAACTGCTTCCGTGCGCCCTATGTGCCGGACTCCTCTCTCTCTCTCTCTCTCTCTCTTTCTCTCTCTAGCTCTTTCTCTCTCTCTATAGATTACACTACTGCTGCTCTCAGACTTAAGCCGCTTATACATGTGTTTTGCTTTTTTGCGCCTTGGCTTTTGATTCTACTTTTTCTCTATATCTTTACCGTCGTGCCTGTCATGGACTTACGTATGTCTCTGTCCTTTCAGCAGGAAAGCTGGACTGACTGATTTTATCGATACTGTCTAGAAAAAAATACATTAGAATACCGATGACGACTTACCTAAGGGATGGTTACTGATTCTTATCTGCGTGAGACTTATTATATGTAATTATATTGACGTACTTATAACTAATTATTTACATCCTGACAAGGTTTTTTTTGAACGCGTTAACATGGTTCACTGAACACGTTTATGCAGAGTAACTAAGAATATAAATCATGATTGCTGTTGTCGGTATATAATGATTTTATTACTGTGCTATATAATGTCTCTGAAGGATATATTTTTACGAAAATCTCTGTATAATAGAGTTACGATTTATAATATGACAGTTACGACTTTAGACTTATTTTCGGTTAAGACATGAATTTTTTCAATTGTAACTTAGAAGAAAAATGACCGAAGACAATGGTGAAACGCTAAAAATCATTCAACTCTCACAATATGACAATTCATGGCATGGCTGTTGGCAAATCAAATGATCTCTATCGCCTGCACACAATAGGCGACTTTTCATTTTAAAAACGTATTATAGTCGGTGATTCTCGCGCAACGATCAGACGGTTCTGACACGCGGCCGTGTGCCGCTTTCTCCAAGTGTTTAAGATCACTCGATAAGGGAGGACACGTGCTGACGGGATGTATTAATGCGTCGGACGCCATCCCACCCCCCCTCGAACTCTCGCTGGATATATTGCCTTTTAAAGGACTTTAAAGAGCCTTCTTATCGCACACTCGACATTGCTTGCTCGCTCAATGAGATCGCCATGTGAAATTTGTTTCCCCCCGTTCTTTTTCCGCCTATGAACTGTTCTAATCTGCATTTTATCGTTTGTCGCCGTGCGATTTACAATCAATCGTATTCCTTTGCTCACGCGACCGTTTAAAAATCTAGTGCTGTGCCGATATTTCTACGACCGATAGACTGATAAATATGAGATTGCAATTCCCATTCTTGCCAATAACGTGACCACGTTTTCAAACGCCTGAAACAAGGTTGATTGACGTAATATCGTACGTATTTAGCTATTTTACGACTATTTTTTTTTACATGTGGTCAACAGATGACCTTCCACTATATATTCTGTTCATTACGTCTATATACTCTTAAGGCAAGAACAATACTAAGCAAAGTAATTAGACGCTAAATCATCTTGGAAATAAATTATACTTGTCAATGACTATCATGACTCGACAACTGTTTTGGATAATCCTTCATTTTCAATTCGCTTTTAATAGATGAGTAAAATGACGTTGCAGTCATTTGATAATAACGAAAAATCATTTTCCACTGCTTATTAAAAATATTATTATTATTATTATCATTATTTCTTCAAATACAGCGCATTGACAAAGTAATTTTACAGAGGTAAATAAGTTACATGTGTGCAAGATTAACGTGACAAAAACAAAATATATAAAAGTACAAGTTACAAAATTCTACATACATTAATAGCTAAAATGCATATAACAAGACATAGGTAAAATAAATTAAACATCTTCGCGTCATATTCTCCACATTTCAATTACTCTTAATTACATTATCTTGAAACCATCTTTTTAATAGCTTATGTTTATATTTATCACATAAAGCTTTATATTTATATTTGTTTATGCTCACGTTGAATATTTTACTTTTATATTTCTTATTGTCACGTCAAATTTTCTGAAAAATTTACTGGCGACATACCGATGACTCTGCTGGGCTAATGTTTTATTAACACCAGGCACGATTATTTGGGATCTAGTTTTGCTTTCCGCTCTACTATATTCCATTAGTAGATTATTATATAGTTCTCTTTTATCGCTTCTCGTAAGAAGAGCTCCTTTATTGTGGAATGAATGTTCAATTATTTGTTTTTTCGTATAGTATTTTTATTAACTTATTTTGTATTTTTCTGAATGCTGCTCAATGTTTAACTATAAGCTCCTCCCCATGCAATATTGCCATAAATGATAATGCTGTGAAATAGTGCATAGGAAATTGTCCTTGAGACTTTTATATTCAAGAAGTTACACGTTTGCGACGTTAGATAATGCATTGTTGTACATACATGTATGATGTTATTCACGTAAGTCTATCGATTTTAAAAAGTGCTTGCTTCGTTGATAACTTCAAATACCCACATTCCCATGGGCAAAAGAATATACGTAGAATCGAGGAAAATAAAGCGGAACAAATGCTGCAGTGCATCTCGAATAATACAAACAAAAAATGGACCGTGGGCACAAAACGAACGATGACTTTCCAGTCGCGTGACCACGCTGCAAAGTCAAGTGAAAAATCTTGGCGGCGATTCGCAAAACGCACATACAAAAGCCAAAACAAAGTCGAGCTTCGAAAGAAAAAGAGAGAAAGAGAGAGAGAGAGAGAGCCAACAATCGAACCCTTCTCTTGGTTGCAAAGTCAGTCTCCCCAGCAGAGAGAGAGAGAGGGAGAGACAAATTATCGTTCTGAAATTGACTTTATCTGGGCTGCAGGAATATTGTTGTAGGTACACCTAGCTGTCGGCATACAAGGTGCGTCAGAAAAAGTAAAACGGGGCCTCGATATAATGACGCACGCGTTAACACGCCCTCCGAGAGCATTGTGAGAAAAGGCAAGGCGCGCGAGCGGACTCGAGTTGCGGCTCTGATTGTAGGGTGAATTTCTCGGCAGTTTGCGGGCATTGTCGGGCGATAAATGCCAGAGGGAGGCGCTGCGGCCGGCGCTTTACTCTCGCGCTCTAATAATAAATCGCATCCCTGAGAAGATTTCAAATTACAGACTCGCCCGGAGAGTAGCGGCGGCACTCCTTGGGGGAGCCCCCAGAGCGGTTTCAGCCCCCCTGCCGCCACGCGCGCAACTCCTTTTGTACGGTGCAGTCGGACGAGTTCGCGCGCTGACTTTCCTTGTGCACACTCTCTTCTTCCTCTTTCCTTTTTTTCTTCTTTCTCTTTCGTTGCTTTGCCTACTTTTGTACATGCGCACACTCCACTTGACGATCTTATCGACGCGGCCACCCAATCCTGGGTAAAAAGTTGAAGGCTGGATAAGCGAAAAATTGCTACCCCAATTGCGCTGCCAGCAGAGTATCGGAACGAGTGCGCCTATTAGTGAGAGACTGTTCTCTGACTCAATGGGATTTTTGTGCTTCGTTGTACGCTTTGGCTAATCGCCGACCTGTTTCTTACGACGATTGTTGATTTCAACGATTGCAGCCATGCGTAAAAAATCTGTATGTGTGTGAGGCTTTTATTATGTTGCAGGCATGTCACGCACTCCAGCAATAATCATTAGCAATTTTTTTTGCACTGAAAATTTGATTAGCGAATTTTTGTAAACGACATTTGATTACTGGCTCATTTTTTGGACAAGTTAATGAAGATGCCTTGTAAGCATGACTTGTACCCAGCAACCTTTAGTATTGGCGAAGAATCAGAGTAGATTTGATTATAAATATTTGCAAAGTTGCGCAACGTTTTTTTAACTTTTAATTTGCATTTTATTTCTTTGATCGAAACGTTATTTTCTATTTCTAGTATACGCTATTAACACTCGATTTTTCATAGAAATAACGTTCGTGATGAACATTCCAAAGACTTATTAGAAATTCATCATCAGTATTGATTGCGATGAATACTCTTTTTCTGACACACACACAATTTCCAATCAAAAACTACTTGTACACATTAAAATGTCACCTTCGAAAGATACAATGACAAGAACATATTACCTTGACTTGTCTAGGTATATAATTAATGATATCATTAAAAAGGCATTTTCCACTAGTAACTTAACATTTCTAAACCGACTATTCAAGTCACGGTTAATAAATTTGTATCAGAAAGTATTTTGTTTGTCTTAATAAGCGTAATAATACATATGTGCAAGTGAGTAGATCCCCCTTCTTTTTGATTACTAACTATAGATTACGTTCGAATTACCTTCGGCATATAAAAGCCTTATAATTTTTAGCAACTTCATTCGCGTTCTGACGTTCGTATAAAACACTATTATATCAGTGTCCTAGTCAACTAGAGTTTTCACAATGAAAGTTCTAATAGTGATCTTTTCAGTCAGCATCGCAAGTGCTGTCACTGTAAGTGATTGAACAACAACTCAAAGATGAAATCAAAATTTTATTTATCATTGAAAATACAGTTCACAAAGTGCAATAATTGTGTCACTTTATGAAAGGCAAAAATACGTAGTTGATATTTATAAATGTTAGTAACTCTTGTGTTTCAAATTTATATTTCTTAACGTAGGCATTTTATTTGTGCACATAACTATACCTAACAAGTTATTATGCTCAAATAAAATGTAAGAAAAATTCTGATGTATCATGGAAAATGAGTGGCATTATTAAGATCTTATCTAACAAACTGATGTTTCTTTCATAATTGTGCATTAATTTGTTTACTGTATGAAAGACAAAATAGCATACATAATTAATAAAAAGGCTTGTATTTTTCGTATTACAATTTTAATTTTTGAAAATATTTCTTATAAAAATTAATTCCTAAAGAAGAAAAAATGTCAAGTATAACGATTTCTCTCGAGGCATCGTTGGAAACAGATACATAACTCATCGAGCAAATGTAAAACAATTTATTTTCAGGACCTAACGCCAGAACAAAAGGAAATGATACAACCGTACAAAGACGCATGTTTCGCTGAATTAAAAATAGATCAAGGTTGACAATCTTATTTCAATTTACGTGTATTTACGTATTCCATGTTTTTATATCAATTATTTATATTTAAATGACAGCTACTATTGACACGGCACAAAAGCAATACTTTGAAGAAGGTAAAACAGAATTTGGCGAAGAAATAAGCTGTTTTTCTGCTTGCATGTTTAAGCAACTCGGATTCGTAAGTACAGATTTACTAATTAAATGCCTGACTTTTTTATTACAATTGAATTGAGACAGCAAAGCACTTTCGGTTAAGTTTCATATCACGCATTTACAATTTTTTCGATTAATCAATTGAACTATTTGCAGATAATTCTAATTATACTTTCTTGTAGATGACGGAAGAAGGTAAGTTCGATGAAGATATGGTTCGTGCTTTAACTGCTGATCAATTTTCTGAAAGCGTACTCGACAAAGCTATCAATACGTGCAAGAACGAAGGTGATTACGATTATGTTCGTTGTTTTTATTTTAATTTCGAACATAAACCATATTCCGTATATAAATTTCAGTTGGAAAAAATGATTGCGAAACTGCAGGAAAGCTATTTTCTTGCTTCTTAAAACAAGGGATCGCTGTGAATGCGTAATGAATTACGTAATGAATAATATGCAGAGTATAACGCTGTATTTAGTGATATTTAACTCGCAGTAGTTGTATTAAAATTGATATTAATAAAAAAGTGGACTAATATAAATTCGTTGAATAGTAACTTATTTTTATCAATCTAATCAATGAATAGAAAAATAATTGATCTGAATTCTATCTTACTTTAATATAAAACAAGTCTCAGTTTTATAATTAGCAACGGTTAATCAAACGATCAATCCGGTATTGTAATAAGTGCAATAATAACGAGTTCTTCAGACAAGGTGATTATATGATACGCGTGAATAAATAATCAGTAAGCTATGACGAAAAAAAAAAATAAATGAAAATTATATTCGAGCAAGCCGACATGACTTGTCAGTATTACACTTGAATAATTTGCCCTGTCCTTTGCTTAATTAAGAAGATTGTCAGCACGTTTTTACAGAAAAATGTTGTTCATCTCGCCGTGTGCGGTCCGACTAAAATTCTCATTGCTCGGAGCTCTCAGTTGGTGCATGCGCGAACAAAGTCCGATTTTTTTTCTTCGCTAGCTCTTCTAATCCGCGCTCGGTTTTTTCAAAGGCTTCGAGATAAGCGCATCAATGTGGACACACGTCCCTGCATATCTACCGGCAGAGCTGCGTCGCCAGGCAAATGCAATGGCCGTCCGCGCATACGTACATACGTCGGCGTTGTTACGAATTACGCACACGCGGAGAATCAGTGATGCGCGCGACGAAAAAAAAATGCTTAAAATGCTTATGCGACGCTTACGTACGCTAGAATGGCCCCGCAGCGCTAAAACATCCATGTACGTACGAGAATTTTGTCGTTGTTGCATTGCACCGTGCGCTACTTTTTTGCTCTCGACGTACAACCTCTCTTTTTCCCTTTCCTTTGCTCATTGTCTCTATTTAAGTGATGCTCTTGAATGTCCTAGCGCGAAAATATTTTCATTTGTTTTGTTTTTATTTTTTTCGTTGCTGTGCTACAAAGAGCCGGCAAGCTTTTCATAGAATAATGCGTTTTACAGTCGGCGTTATTAACGTCACACACATCCTACTTATCCTTACACGAATTCTTTTTTATTTCGTCTTATTTTTTAATAAACACGTTATTCTTTGCGAGTTTACTCAATGTTTCCAAGATTTATCACAAGAGAAAAATTTCTCGCGTTTAATGTTAGTGTATCGAACCTTATTTGAAAACTTGTTCCTTTCATGAATATTCGAAAGAATATTTTCCTTCTACCCTAGTCATTTCTGAACAAACGATTATATTTCGCATAAATTATGCGTAAACATAAACATCAGTTCCGGCAGATCAGAGGAGATAATCGCTTGAATGTAGGTATAAACTTGGCAGATTAAAGCTGCAGTTGGCAGAAGAAGGAGGAAGAAAGCATAGAAGAGAGATAGGGGAAGCGACACTTGGCGGTCGGCTTTCATGTCTCGCGCGCGCTTAATTGTCAAGCATTCAGCTGCGGAGCTATATATCCTGCGGCGAGAAGTGAAGCTCGAAGGAATGGACGAAGGTGTTAAAAGAAGGGTGAAGTCATTAAATTATTCCGGAGCGTAAGCACTGCGCTGTTGTTCCGTTTTCTGCGCCTGTCCAACCGAAAGCGCACACGTATCTGTTTGCCGCTGCTTCGCTACTGCGATCTGCGTCTATTTACAGAATCATTTGTCCAGCTGGCGGCGCTGGAAAAATGAAGGAATTTTTGAAAATTAATAAAGCGCAAGCATCAAGGCGCCGTAATCGCGCTCTGCTTCTATTTTCTATTGTACTCGCTGAAGCCAGCCGTGCGTGCATAATAATTATGAACCTCTATGAAAATTAGGGTCGCAGACCAACTACGTTAACCCGTAATTAAAACAATACGTTGTTTAATCGAGTGACGCGCGTCGAAATACACAGTACGCGATTTTAAGCTAGCGAACATTTTTTAAGTCATTTTCATTTCAATGTTACCAACAGCCAAGTCGTCTTGCAAAAGCGACGTCGCTTGCATTTCGCTCGGATGGCTTGAACAAATAAGCGAGACTGTTTTAATCGACAATGCCGTTTCACACTATTTCGTTTATCGAAACCTCGTGTATTTCCAAAACCATAACATTTCCATCCGCGTTGCACTAAAGAAAATCAAGGGAATCAATTGGATCAAGTATGGCCGATTATCATAATTTAGCGACGCAAGAGCGACAAAGAAGCCACGTGGCAGCAGGCGCTTGTAACAAAGGTACAGAACGCGCGAGATCGCAATGTAGCACGCAGCTGCATTGGAAACGAGGTGAACGTGCATTGACAACGTACGCGCGCTCGGATCGAGTCAGTGGTTCCAAAACGATCCTTCAGAACGCAATGAACGCGAAGCGTGTCGGCAAACAGAGCCGCTCGTTGGGAAAGGAGTCCCCGCAGGCGTCGTGCACGTCCATTTGTCTTTGTGGCGTCAATGTCAATGATTACTCGCGTTCGTTTTTTTCAGTAAGATTCCCGTGCGCTTCCCTCCCTCCTCCCCTCTACCTCTCACAGCTTTCGATCATGAATTTTCCACGCCCACGGCAAGATTTCGACGTGCCGATGAATGATCCGTTTACTCTCTGACGTATTTCATTTTGCGCTTCGTTATCGGCTCTGCCTTTCGCCTGTGTATACATGTATATGTATTTTTTCACCCCGACTCCCTCCTCGCGTTCTCTTTGAGAGGACTCTGCGGTCGACCGAGCGAAAAGTAATTTTTCGAGGGAAAAAGCGTCCTCTACATCTCTCTCTCTCTCTCTTTTTTTTCGTTTGTATGCCTGCGCGCATAGTCATAGTTTTTTGCACGGAATAATTATTCGCTCGTTTCGTTCGAGCGCGCCAGGGAATTGAATTTTCCCGTTTATAGAGCTCGCGAGAGCAGCTTATTCGATTTGCTGCCATTCGTTTGTTTATCAATCAATTTACCGGTATTAATTCGCGTCTGGCTTTTCCCGAGAACCGAGTCTGCACTGCGGTATAATTGATTTCGTGAAAGAGATTGCAACAATCACGTGCGCGAACATTATACGTGGATCGCTATTATTCAGTCTGTCGTTTATAATGAGATAATTGTTTCGGTCGGGAAATAATCGAGGAGCGCGCTTAAACGACTCTTTCGAAAAGGAAGGAGCGCAGACCAGCCCAAAAATTAATAAATCGGTCGGATTTTTAATGCGAGTTAGCGTAGGAGAATCTGTCCGCGCTCGAAAGCTCGAGAAAGGTAACGTAACAAGGCAGCTCCTTGAGATCGAAACGGGATTAAGTGCCCATCCGTGTACAATGGATTCTCTCACGAGCGCTGACCGCTTGTCAAAACAGGCACACAAATCCCAGAATCCCCGCGCGACACGAACGAGAAAGAGAGAAAAAAAGCGCACGAATCAATTTTCTCATTAAATCGGGCCTGAAGTCCAGTCAAAAAGTGCGCCCGCGCGCGCACACACACAATAAGGGGAAGCCAAAACGAACGGTCAATGCTTGCACACAAAGCTCTCTCAGGGAAGAAGGGACGAGAAAGTCGGGGCGGCTCGGGCAATGCGAGAAACGTGGAGAACGGAAATGGAGAAAAAGTGCGCTGTATAGGCGTCGAGAGAGCGAGTTTCGGTGCCATTTGGGGGCTCCGGCGGTTGGCTCAGCGGGGTTGCCGCGGACGCCTCGGCGGACACATTGACGGCGCCCGTTCGACTTGATAATCGCCTCGCCCATTCAGCGTACACTTTTCATTGGATTGCGATTGAGCATTAAAGATGGAAAAAAAGAAAGTAAAGAGAGAGAGAGAGAGAGAGAGAGAGAGAGAGAGAGAGAAACGCGCGTGGAGATCGAGGGCATTAGCGCTTTACGCGTATTAGCATTAGGAGGCATCATCTCGAGTGTAAACACTGCATGCGGCAAACGCGAATCTGGCGCCCCGGGACGTCCGTCGATACGTACATGCGTGTATATACCTGCGTCAACCATTAGTAATAATAAAGCTACCGAGGAGAGAGCTTTCGCCGTGGTGCAGATGTGCAAAAATCGACGATTCGTTTCCTCTTGCGCAAACCCTTTCAGATTGACCGTTCGCCTCGATGACGATCGCGAATACGCGCATTAACGCAATATAAGCGCCAAACAAGACCCACAACGACAGACTTTCTTTCCACTGCTGGCCCGGGCCCATATAGTTATGACGGATTCGCTACGCGTGTGCACGCGTATATGCATTTTTTTTTCTTTTCCAGTGCTGTAAACGCCTCCGGCAATGCCTAAGTACGCTTGCTAATTAGCTTTTACGAGGTTTACTTTTGCTTTGAGAGCTCCAGTTAATCTCCTGTTCGGAGAGGCCAATTATCCTCGTTTTTGTTATCTCAAATTTTTTTTATTTGCGAGTGATATCCAATATTTGAGTGGAACGTGTCGTCTGTATCCAAATCAATCGATCATCGATGTACCAAACAGAAAGCAAAATGAAAAACGAACAGCTGACAAAGCGACAGTCATGTGCGATGAAACGTTGACACAGCGTCATTTGTCGTCGTAGATTAACGTATACGTACCTACAGCGAACGCCGCATCGCTCGATTATGATGCCTGGACGGAAATATTTGTGTCACTTGTTACGTAGCCAGCGAGGCGTGCGCCTTGATAAAAAGAACGAGAAAAGCGGACAGGACGCGGCAAATGCTTAAGCATCGCGGCGGCACGCAAACGAAAGCGAGAACGGCAAGTTGAACGGAGCGTTAAATCCCTGGGGATCGCAAGGCTAAGTCGACCAGGGAGACAAGTCCAGCCGAGCGTACGACGATCGACAGCAGCGAGCACGAAGCCCGCTTAATTAACGAGAGAAAGAGAGAGAGCAAGCTAATCGTCACCGAGGATTTCCGCGTATACCCGCACGTAATCGTCCGTGCGACTGCTGCCTTTCCGCGCGCGCGCTCGAGCTTTTACGACTAAATGCATTCCAAAAAAAGAGCTGCTTCTCTGTTCTCCTCCTCCCTTCTTAGTTCTCTTTGAAAATGTCGTCGTATGTTTTGGGATATGCCAAGACGCTAGTTTTTATGTCTGCTCGATTATGTTTTCATTGATGGCTTAATTGTCCGCTTAGTCCGGGTTTGTCAGGCTAGCAGAGATCAATCGTTCGTAGAGCCTGTGAAAATAATTATTACACAGATGGAGTTTCGTTCAAAAGTTTTTTTGTTAAATTGTTATTAAATTCATTGCTGTGTTCTCAACTAGCCGGCCCAATGATAGATAACTAATAATCCTCTA